CCCAGCATGCCTGGGTTCCACCGAACCCAGCATGCCTGGGTTCGATGAAACCCAGGCACTGGGTTCCTTAAGACCCAGCCCTCGGTTCCAAAAAAAAAAAGAAATTTCTGTTTTCTTTGTTTGGGTTTTGTTGTTTGATGATATGAGAATTGATGGAGATGAAGAAGGCAAGGCAGTCGTTGGGTTTTTGCAAGTGGATGAAGATGAAGAAGGCATAGCTGTTGGGTTCGAAATCGAACCCAGCAAGCAATCGAACCTAGCATCGAACCCAACAGCTGCTGGGTTCCTGCAATGCTGGGTTCGATTTCGAACCCAGCAGGCACTGTGTTCAAGTTGGGTTCCTACAGGTGCTGGGTTTGATTTTGAACCAAGCAGGCACTGGGTTCCGTTTCTAACCCATGGATCTGTTGAGTTCCATTTGTTTATTGATCTGTTGAGTTCCATTTGTTTCAAACTCAGCAGTCGTTAAGTTGATGGATCTGTTGAGTTTGATCTATTTATGGATTTGTTATCTGTTGTGTTATTCTCATATTCTTGCAAGTGCTGGATTCGATTTCAAACCTAGCAAGTGTTGGGTTTTGTTTCCAACCCAACTGCAGTTGGATCGAAAGATCTATTGATTTCTATCTGTTGGTTTGTTATGTTATTCTCATATTTAATATTAAGAAATGTTAGGGTTTGCAGAAGGTGAAAGGAAAGGGAAAGGAAGAAGAAAGGGAAAAAAGAAAAACAAAGAAAGAAAAAAAAAAAAGAAATTTTTTAAAGTAATTTCTTGCTATCTCATTTTTTTGCCACGCTGTACATCTTAGGTGTCAAAATGTCTTAACATGTCATCCTTTTCCCCGTCAAGTAACAAGACACGTAAGCGGATATTTAACGGAAGGACCAAATCGGGGTAAAAATGGTAAACAGTAGGGACCAAATTAGGAATTTTTTTAGTTTAGGGACCAAATCGGGGGTCCGTACAATAGTTCAGGGACCAAAAAGGGGTTTTAACCTTTTTTCTAATACCCATGAAGCATTTTCGCCATTGTTGGAGCTATCGCAATTTCCTCTTAGCCATCTTTTATGATAATAGAGCAAGTCTAAAGAATCACCTTCTTTTGAAGCCAATGATATTGTCTTGGCATTAAAGAAGTCTTGTCTTCTCAAAAAAAAAAAAAAAAAAAGATCTTTGCTAAATAGTTGGCTTTTGCTTACTTTGCCACATGTTGAGGGTGATATGGCTGAGATTCAAGTAGTTGCCAATGAAAATAAAGGCAAGAAGGCTACTGCAAAGGCCTAACCCAAAGTCCAACGAAGATAGTGATGTGAAATCCACCAAGAGTGATGAAGCATCAAAAGGTAACCATGAGTCCAACCATGAAAGTGGCGATGAAGATGATGGCATGTCTAATGTTGAAGTTGGCATAAAAAGTTGTGCTAAAGAAAGGTGTGCCATACTTGGCTGCGGCTTCAAAAGAATCCATTCCCAACGAAAACGAGGTAGATGTTGATGAACCAACCATGAGTATATCAAAGAAGGCTGTTAGCTTTTTATAAATCTTTGTGTGGCTGTGAGGCACATGGAAGTAACCCCCTTTGTTGAGACGGAGGAGGAATTCTTTCTTTTGTGTAGGGATGCCATAGATGATGCCAAAAGCATAAATTTTAAAGTTGAAGGAATTCGGGCTGGCAAAGGCGTACTTGACAAAGGCAAGTTTGACATGGCTAGGAGTGACATGGCTGGCAACTTGATGAGTAGATTGACAAGCTAGTGAAACATGTTGAAAATGTGTAGAAATGCTTGGTTGATATGAAAAAGTTGATGCTTAAGCTAGGGGTGATGTTGAAATTAGTTGAGGCACATTTGAAATTACTCAGCTAAGAGAAAAAATGCCTGGGTTCTAATGAAGTCACCTAGCAAAGTTGCCTAACGAAGTTGCTTAGTGAAGTTGCCCAATGAAGCCACCTAGTGAAGTTGGTCAGATAAGTCACCCATTTTGTTAGAATTGTGTTGAAACAACCAATAATTATGGCGATGAGCCTGGTCCATTTGTTCTATGAGCGATCATGTTCTTCAACCCCTAGTGTTGATGTACTTCGTCAAAGTAGCATAAGTACTCATCAAGTGTAACCATACCACTGGCAAGAAATACTAGCCATAGAGTAACACTCCATTAGCAAGTTGATAATGATGCAAATGCTAACCTTGGGAAAGGAACCACCATCACATAATAAGTCTATCATGACACAAATTTGCCCAAGAGATGATCGAGCCACATCGCTAGTAGGTCTTGATGTGACACAAATACTAGCCATGAAAGATAAGAATGCTGCCAACAAACTGAGGATGGCTGAAATACTAGCCTTGAAAATAACATCACCGACAAGCATCGCTAGCAAACCTTGAAAAGGCATCAACACTGGCCATGAAAGATCATATCGCTAGCAAACCTCAAAAAGGCACTAATACTAGCCATGATAGATAATATCGCCAGCAGGCCTTGAAAAGGCACAAATACTGGCCATGAAAGATAATATCGCTAGCAAGCCTTGAAGGTGCAGCAATACTAGTCAAGAAATATAATATAGCCAGTAGGCCTTGAAGGTGTAGCAATACTGGCCAAGAAAGATAACACTGCCAGCAAACCTTGAAGATGCATCGCCAACAAACCTTGAAGAGGCATCAATATTGGCCATAAAAGGTAACATCACCAACAGGCCTTAGAAATGTAGCAATACTAGGCAAGAAAGATAATATTGTTAGCAGACCTTGTATAGGCATGAATTCTGGCCATGAAATATGATATTGCCAACAAGCCATGTAGAGGCACAAATACTGGTCATGAAAGATGACATCGCCAACAAGCCATGTAGAGGCACAAATACTGGTCATGAAAGATGAC